CTCATCTTGCTGCCCCTTTTACCCTGGTCAAGTTCTAGGGGGGCTGGGAGGGGTCCTGGAGCATGTGTAATGCAGCATAGGACACAGACGTTGGGTTGTTAGTATCCTCATCACAACAGCTTTTTGATGTTCAACACATGCAATATATGCATCATATGCAACAAATAGTCTTTAACAAAAAATCTTTGTTGATTTGAAATTGGCCCTCACCTGGCAGGGTGCATGTCACGAAATTGGAAGGGGTTAGATGAGGTGAGAACACCGGTTCATGCAAGGATGCATTCTTGACTCTTAGCTAGACTGGTTATTTACATGACTGATTTCCAGTTAATCAGTGAGACACTGTGTCTCTCGCTTTCTTGTTTTTGACAAAAGCTCCAGTGTCTGTTTCTTTCACCCCCAACCACTGCAGATGAACACCCTAAGCCTATTCCAAATTCAGTAAAAAGATTTTTCTACTAAAGCCAAGAATTTTTTAATTGCACTCCATGGCTTATTTTTACTTTTTGCTTTAAAGATGTTAAGGTACAGGTAATTTGGGCTGTGCCACATGAGACAGTTGCATCTAAACCTTCTGTTTTCCTTTTTTTGCATTAACAAAGCATCCAACAATGAAGGAGTCCGAGAATTTTCATAGATAGCGCAAATCGGAATTGTACTTGAACTCTGTGGTGTAGAGAGTGAACAGAAAGGGAGACAGGATGGTTTCTTGGGGCGTGCCAATGTTTCTCAGCACCGCACCATCCTGAAACCTCACAAACTCTCACCTGGTTGTTAAGTAGTCTGTGATCAAGGACACTATAGGGCAGATAATTCTCTTTGAAGTCATTCCCCAGACACAGAAGCCCGGTAATGTTGAAAGTATCAGAGAAGTCAGAGTGTGATCCTAACAGTGCTGCTCCCTCTGTCTAAAAAGTTGGCTTTGCAGATCACTGCATGACCTACCCCTGTATGTCCCTGGTAGATACACTATCATGGGTCCATTTGGTCATTGACTAAAGGTCTAAGATGTTTGAGTAACAGACTTTTATAGGATTTTTGTGATGTGAAAGCTGCTGGTCTTCTTGGGCATTGGAACAGTGCATGAAACCCACAGTTGTCGCATCTTCTGCAAGTTTTATGTTTTTAAATATTCCACAAGCCAGACTAACATATAGCTTGAGCCCCACTGCCTTGCCTGTGTGTAACTTTCCTAGTTTAACTTTTACATGGTCCAGCATGATGTACAGTCTGGGGAGGGGAGTGGAAGTTTTGATCTTGGGTGTTGTTCTTTTTTTTCATGGTGCAGGAGGGGAAGTTAGAGGAGGGAGAGTAGGGGAATAGGAGGCCGAGAAAGGGGTGAGGTAGTAGGAGTGAGTAGGAAGGCAGAGGGCTGAAGCCTGTCCATCTAGTGCCCCCTGGTGGTGGCTGTGTTAGGGAGTGCACAAGTACATTGTAATGCTACTTTCCACAAATCCCATTCTGCATGTTATATTTATATACACTATATGGACAGAAGTATTGGGAGACCTGGCCATTACACCTACAGGAACTTTAATGATATCCCATTCTAAATCCATCGGCATTAATATGGAGTTGGTCCCCCCTTTGCAACTATAACAGCTGCCACTCTTCTGGGAAGATTTTGGAGTGTGTCTGTGGGAATTTTTGCCCATTCATCCAGAAAACTAACAGAAAGCAGTATTCATCCAGAAAACTAGCCACCTGGTCGGGGCGGCTTCTCAGTATGAGGAACAGCAAAGCTTGGCTTTGGGACCAAGTCACCATATTTACAGCTCACCTGCTTTGAATCAGCCAATGATATCGTCCCAGAAACATAGACGTGGGACTTTGCACGCCCACTTTGTGCATTGCTGACATATATTTGAAACATTCTGCTGTCATTTATTCTATTTTGTTAGGACTGATATTACATGTGGCCCTGTGGTGGACTGGCGACCTGCCCAGGGTGGACCCCGCCTCGCGCCCGAAGATGCTGGGCTTGGCTCCAGCTTCCCCGTGACCCAGATGGATAAAGCGGTATAGATAATGGATGGATGGATGAACCTGAACCTTTACTTACATAAAAATGTTCAGAGGGCAGAGCAAAAAATGATTGGTTATCTCTCTGGACCAATCACATATACAGGAGGTGGCTCCAAGCAACTCGAGGATATGGGACCAACCAATTGGATGTTTGGTCCTGTCTCCTGTAGTTGCTTGGACCGACCTCCTGTACAATATTATTGGTTATCGCAATAAAATAATGTGATATCTATTGCACAATAAGTTATTTTTGAATAATACATTTTAAATAATTTATAAAAAATAATGGTTGCCTACCTCTACCCATATACTATCAGTGTAAGGAGTAGAGTGCAAAAGTGGGAGCAGTAAGTTCATGTGTGTAGTCATAGTCCATTAGACAGGCAAAGGGTCAGAAACAAGGCAGAGAGAATGACAGAAAACAAATCCAAGCCGTGACCCAAATCTGTAGCCCGAACACAAGCAGAAAGTTACAAAGCCAGTATGGGTGTTCTTGAGCAAACAAATCCAAATCACAAGGTAACATACCAAAACCTCACGAAGATTGAGCTGCAAAATTGTCCTTTTGTCTTGTCTTCCTCTCCGGTGTGGTAGCAAGTGGAAAGGTTTTAGTGCCGCACACAAAGTACAAAAAAAGAAATCAGACTAGAGTCTGAATTTAAAAATTTCTATTTGCTATGTTGCAGGGTGTCAGGAACGAACCCAGGAGAAGGAGTGGCGATCCATGTAAGAACATAAGAACATAAGAACATAAGAAA